CCAGCTAATGCCATAAGAATTTGCCTCTACTGCTCTGTTTTTTTAAACACAATAAACTTTACTTCATAGCCCCTAATTAATTATCTTTCAGGGACCCCCCTTCTCCCAGACAGATCATATTTAAAAGACATTTATAAAATGTAGTTGAATATATTTTGGTCATAAAACTTTTGCATTTGAAGACATGCTTACTAAGAAGTATTTTATTTATGAAGATTTAAACTTGATTTAGTTTATAGGGGGTTTTGTTTTATATTTAACATATTACAAAGTCAGTTCTCCATGTAGAATTTTTATCTAAAATGTCATAGGAACTGGAAATTGGAAAAGAATAAACTATATATTCCTTCACATCTTAAATTTTTCACATGCTTTCTCTTTGCCTGAAATCTCTTTCCTATCTGTCCTGTGCCAGGTGGTGTATTTCTGTCCATCCTTCAAGGACCAGCTTAGCTCAAGTTACCTGCCTTTGATATCTTTCTCATGCTCTAGAGGATGCAACAGTAACCTTTGTACTTTGTATGTTTTTCCATCATTTTTCTTACCACATTGTTTAGACTTTGTTTTCGGGGGGGGGGAGATACTGGGGATAGAACTCAGGGGCACTCAATCACTGAGCCACATCCCTAGCTCTATTATTATTATTTTTTTGTATTTTATTAGAGACAGAGTCTCACTGAGTTGCTTAGCACCTTGCTAAATTGCTGAGGCTGGCTTTGAACTCAGGATCCTCATGCCTTCGCCTCTTGAGCTGCTGGGATTACATGCATATGCCACCAGGCCGGCCCCACATTGTGTTAACTTTTTTTGCATTTCTCCCTATTATAACACCTAGAAAGCATATATTTGTAACTTTTATTAAATTATTGGGTTGAATTGATCATTCAAAGAACTGTCAAGATAATGGGGAGATTTGAATAATAAATACAAAAAAAAAAAAAAAGAAAATGTCAGTGTAGAGGAAAACATTAAGTGAAAAAATTACCTTCCCCCTGAAATAATAACTAGGTTTTTGGGAAAGAATCATCTTGGAAATAATCATTGACAAGAACATTTGTCCTACATTGTCACATCCAGTTGGAGAACTGCTTATAATAGTTCACATTCAATATAAAACTTGGACTCTTTCAAAAGATAAGTTAATTTTCTTCTTTGCATCAAGATACAAGTTACTTTAGTACACCATAATAGAATAGAAAAATGATTCAGTTTGCGACATGAAAAATATGCTAGGAAAGAAAAAAGATTTTACAGATAAACCACAATTCGACTCTAAGCTAAAGCCTCACAAGAAGCTATTACTCTGTAAAGAGTAATGTGCTCCCTGTATTGAATGCAGCACAGTCGATGAGTTCCAGTGGCATCATAAACAACAAAAGCCAAGTTCAAATCACTCACATGAACTTGTAATTGAATTTTTTCAGATGTGATTTAATGTAGCAAATGGAACAGGGTAAAATGTTTCAAACATAACAGTGATTGAACAAGTTATAGAAATTAGTAGAGAGTGAATAGTAATACTGGATATGTAATTTTCAAGCATCTTAAGGTAGCAAAACTCTTCACTCACTCAATTTAACTGAAAGAGAAAAGTTAATACTAGGTTCAGAAAGAGGGAGTACTCAGTATGGAGCATTTAGGACAACTTTTTACATTTTGAATGATAAAGGATACTGCTTAGAGCTCTAGTATGTATCTTTATCAATATTTTTATTGGTACATTATATTTATACATAACAGTGAAATTCGTTGTTGCATATTTGTAAACGCACATGATATAACGATTTAATTTGATCAGTATTGTTCCTCAGTATTTTCCCTTTATCCCTGTGTCTCTCTCAGGGTTTGATTAAAGCTTGAGAAAAACCACTGTTCAATATGGCTGGTGGGTAGGACTGAGCAGGCATTCCTCTCCAGATTTAGAGGTTCTTGTCTCTTTTTAAAGTGGATTTTAATAGTGTCAGGTTGACCAGAAGATTTATAAATGTATAGATGTGTAAAAGTATGATCCCTGAATGCTGTGAGCCTGGCAAGTCTGTTTGTGTAAACAACCTTTGGATTTTCCAGTGTCAACGCTCAGTGTTTGTCTTGGGGTTAGGAACAGACACTGACATGACTTTCACTGTTGTATCTCCATATGCCAGTACCAGGGCAGAGAAACACTTGGTAAGACTGAGATGGCAATTGAACTCTGTTAGTTCTACAATATCAAGTGCTTTCTAGTGGACCCTCAAGGCCTTGAATGGGGGTGCGTTGACATTTGTCATTGTGTGCTAGATGGAGCTTTTTCTGTCATTTTGAGAGGTAGCTTTCAATTCTTACCTATTTTCCTTGGAGCTTAGAATTAGGGCCTATTTCCAAATATAGCCAGCAGATGGAGCAATTTACTTTATTTATACTCTTCATTTCAAATGAAAAGAATTTTGAGATCACCCTCATATATATATATATATATATATATATATATATATATATATAATCAAAGGTAAAATTTTAGTGTATGTTTCAAAACAACATATTAAACATGATTTATTTCATTTTCAAAAAGCAGTATTGTGAGGTTTAAAATTCAGACTTGCATTTTATTAGCTTTACAGAACTAAGAGGAAGACATGAGTTTCATTAGTTTTCTTATGGAATTCATAATCACACATCCTATAAGGTGAGAGTGAAGCTGGTTCTGATTTGCCATAGAATTCAGCAATTCTTAAGTCGCTTTGATAACAATTTAAAAATCCTGATTTGAATAACTGACTCTTAACAGAAATCTCAAGTTGAAAAATTTATTTATGGAATCATTTCAGCTATTAGACTATCCATCCTATCTCTTGTCAATAGAGGATGGTTTCCCATAGGAGATAACTAATAACTTCACAGAATTTTGGGATGTAATAGAATGTTATTGTCCCCTGGAGGTCATACTTGCCAACCAAAGGGTAATAACTTTTATTACAAGCTTGAAATAGTCTATAAATGTTTCATTAAACCCTTAAAAATGTGCAGTTATTAATTCTCCACCCTCTTTTTTTTTATTTCTGGCTACCACACTGAGATGGATGAAGTGTTCCAGGAAACCTGGATAAAATGTGATTGTGCTCAATTTATCACCTGAAATATTTCCTAGTGGGATTATCTGAATGTATGTGGATATTAGTAAAAATCTACTCAGGATATTTTATTATTATTTTAAATGCTGGGCTCAGCATATAAGTTCTGTCTTAATCATTCCCTTTTGTAACATGTTCCTGATTCTTGACCTGCTTTAGGCAGCAGGTGAAGTAGGGGGAGGGAAGATTCTGCATTTTCTGGCTATTTTAGTCGATTCAAAAGCATTTATGAAGCATCTCTCTGTGCAGAGCTCTGGCATGGTGCTGAGTTGATTGAGTTTAAAAAGACATAGACCATGTCCTTGAGGCAGAGAAGCTGCCAATCGCTGACTCCAGGGAGAAGTGTATTTTTTTTTCTTCAGTATGGGCAAAGTTGCCATGGAACAGGTTATGTGTAGGTTTGAACAGGTAGGGGGTGCCCCAATCCCTATAATTATAGGAAACTGACAAAAATTTTACTTGCAAGGAAACAAGAGTTTAAATTCTTGGGAAATCAGAATTAGAGAATACTTAAAAACAAAATATAGTTTTGACTTTCAAGTTAACATTGTAACTAACAAAATATTGCAAAATCGAAGTCCCTTTAGGGCTCAATTTAATGGATAGAGAAGAGAATTTGAAAAGGTAATAAAACAGATTCTCACACAAAAAGTGCTTGGATTTTTGCATCTGAATAATACTCTGCATTACCATACACAGTATCTTTTCTCTTCTTTAACCAAGTAAAAGGAATTCAGCTCTTTACTTCTTCTTAGCATCATACCCATATGTCACCCGTAAGACACATGCATAAGCAATGAGAATAAGTATATTTTGTGAATGACCCATTAAATTGAAGGAATTGTTCTAGGTTCTTTGACTGTAAGGATCAGGGACCCACTCAACTGATTTAAGAAAAAAGAGATTATTTTAAAAAGAGGGAACTTCATGGATAGGAAATACAAGAACAATAGCTAGGTTTTATAACAAATGTCAGGATACTATTTTCTTTCTCTTTTTCTTATATAAGTTACTTTTAACAAGTGGTTCAAGGTGAATTTGAAGAGGTCAGGTGCTCTTGGCCAAAGCTGGATCAGTAAGGCCTTGAGGTCACGATATGGGATAATACTGTGGCCATATGTGAACAATATGACAAGAAGGAATAAAGCCCTCAATTGAACCAGGCTGATTGGATTCTCTCTCAAGAATCTGACCTGAGACACCAGTTAGTTTGTGGCTGGCTTTTGAAACACTCATAATAATATCTAATATTTGTGAACACTTTGCTGTGTATCAGCTATTGTCCTAAACTTTCCTCATATTCTCACATGTTAAGTGTCACAGTGATATGATGTGGGTCAATGTCACCCTTGTTTTACAGAGAAAGAAATTAAAGTACTACTGAAAAGTAAAATAGCAAATGTAAGTCGACAAAGACTGCAGGAGAGCTGGTACTGGAACTCAGGCAATCTGATTCTAGAGCCACCATGGGATGCTCCTTCAATGTGTCAGCCAAAGCCACACGAGATCAAAATTATAAGGGTGGGGGATGCGGAATTAGAGAGTGAGCAAAAGAAGCAAGTGTTCAGAGAGCAGCCCAGAGCAGTTGTTCATAGCAGTTACTCCAGTACTCACACTGAACAAGACCTAGTACTCAGCAGGTGCTCAGTAAATAGGTCCTGAGTACTGAACAGATATTTTCAGCAGGATCTTTGGATAAGTCATATCCCCTGTGAGTGCCAGTCAGACAAGAGCCTCCAAATAATTTAATGAATCCATTTCATTAAAAAATCCCTAAATTATATATACACAACATGGGTACATTCTCTTTTTTTTAAAATGTAAAACTCTACAGAGGATGAAGTTCCTTTGGGTCACCTTCTTCCCCTCTTTGTTTCTTCTCCTCTGCTCTCCAGGAAGCCTTCCAGACTTCATTGACATATCTGCATATATAGATGCTGTGAAAAATGTAAGTATTGTTTTGTATATTTTATAAATAGTGTGTTTTAGAGTTTCAGCCATATTTTTAAGATAAACTCACTATTATGAATTATTTTGTAATTCAGAATTTTGGATGTATCTTCTTATACATGAATTTCTATTCTGAGAAGTAGAAATGGTTCAGTATTTGGCTATACACCTTTTACTGTTGTAATAAATAGTGCCACGTTGCTTTTCACATTCTTGACATTATTATCAAACTTCTTGACTGTGGTGTGATGGATAAATAATTGAATCTCAATATCGTTTTAATTGGCATTTCTCTGGTTATCGGTGAGGTCCATCATCTCTTCATGTATTTGTAGGTTATTATCTAAATCACCTATGGATCTTTTCTCCAAGTGCACCTTCCCTGTCTTCTGGAATAATCCTGATATGGTATCCATGTTATAATAGAAATGGGTGTAGGGGGTCGACTACAGTGAGTAAATCACTTTACCAGGTTATTCTAATAAGTATCTCCCTCAGTAACCCCCCCCCAATATATAACTAGTTGAAGACAAAAACCAGCATTTGATGCAAAAACTACTGCCAATTTTAGTCCAAATTTTTAAAAATCACACTCAGCTATTTTGTTTTGCATTAATGATTCCTTTTCATGGATTCTCTAGAACACTGTTAATTCTTAGTATAACATATGAATATTTACTAGTGCTTTTTAGATAGAAACTATCTTCTTTTTTAATGTAAACTCTGTTCTGGGAGCTTTCTTCTTCTTCAATTAAAAACAAATAAATTGGGGCTGGGGATGTGGCTCAAGGGGTAGCACGCTCGCCTGGCATGCATGCGGCCCGGGTTTGATCCTCAGCACCATGTACAAACAAAGATGTTGTGTCCGCTGAAAACTAAAAAATAAACATTAAATTTTTTTTTTTCAAAAAGGGCTCAGTGGAAAATTAAAGGTTTTTAATAATGGCTCAGTGGTATTAATAGGAATAAATCCAGATATCTTTTCTTTTAAAAAGAAAAAAAAAGAGGGGTTCTGAAAAAGAACTGATGTAGACTCTTTTAATGCTGGAAACTCAAAGAACATTTGTACTTTCATCATTCATTTTAGTAGTTTAGAAAGTCAACTCTAATTTCATCCTGGATGGAGGAGTAAATTATATTAGGACTGGAAATAACAGATATCAAATAGGTAAAAAAAAAATCTATGGAGAAAATATGACAGATTTAACTTTAATTGAGCCTGTGAATTCCAACTTAACAGTTCAGCTATGCTTCCTAACAATGATTTGCTTAAAAATATTAGTTTATACTGATTAAACTGGAAACGAAGTTCTAAAGAAAAAAAAAAAAGGGCTCAGTGGTTGAGCACACCCCTGTGTTCAATCCCTAGTGCCAAAAAAGGGTGATTATGTACATTAAAAAAAACGAATAAATTAATGAACTAATAATACAAACAAATTAAGAAGCTGGGAAGAGATGACCAATTTCTGACTAACTCATTTTCATTTTCCCCTTTTCTGGTATGAGGTGGTTGTTGGGACAGCTTTTTAGCTAGGTATCACATTTCTTAAAACCCTTTTGCATCTGGTGTGGCCATCTGTTAATCAGTCATCAACCACTAGTTAAGCAACTGTCCTCTTTCCCAGAGCTCATCAGACAGGAGGTGGTCATCTGTTACAAAAAGTAGCCAGTCATTGTTAAGGTGCTCCACATAAAAAACTCTGCTCAGATAGAGTTTTTCTGACCAACGTAATTCTACTGTACTGAGTGTTTGATTTGTAAGATATATACAGGAAATTGACATTTGGCTGTGGGGGCAGAAGTAATAAGAGACACATAGAGAGATCTAAGGTAGGAGACAAAGCTATGAATTAGCAGACACTATAAATGTAGAGGAAATTGGTGAGTAGTAAGTAGCAGAACAAGGACAAAGAGGACTGAGTCATCATAGCATATGTTCTACCACATCTTGCTGCTGAGGAGGCAGCAATTCAAGTCGGGCAATGTGTTGGAGTTCAGTGTCTGAGCAACATTCTGTCCCCTGTGAGGTACAGTTGAATGCTATACAGTTTCTGTGTGATTCCTATTTCCTCTGCTTCCTTGTGTTTCATTATGATAAATCCATTTTCCTTGAGGTAGCCTGAGTGATTTTCCACCAAGCTTGCAGTCAGAAAAGGCTGACATATCTGTCATTTTTAAGTTTTCATTAATTAGTATGTATTGTTTGGAATATAATTAAACATAAAAATATTAATTATAAAAAGTAGGCATTGCCATTTTGATAGATTTTGGAAATATGATTATAAAATTAGGTATGCTTATTATTTTTTGGTCTCTAATTCTCTCAGCACACATTTATTATTTGCTATTTGACAGATTGTTTTTATTCACAGAAGAGAAAAGACAATGGGAATCAAGATTACATTTGAGTCATTCACTTTTCAAAGTTCAGTTAGTTTCTCAATATACTTCTTATTTATTATGTTTATGCTTGATTTTGGTTTATCCATAAGTATGTCTGGATTTGTCTTAGGTTGGGTCCTCTAGAGGCTGCAGTTATAACATGCTCTCCTGTATTCTCCTGGTACTTATTAGCCATGTTATGCGGGTCTTTCAGTAAATAATCCTTTCCTTTCTTTAGGGACATTCTGGATTTGCTTCCAGCTATTACTGTTGACCAGAAGGGAAAAATTGGTCAACCCTTGAAGAGGGTATTGTTTTGTGAAGCATCTTCCTCAGCTGAGGCCTCTGCATGATCTTTAGGTAATTCAATGGGTCTGCCATCTCCTAACATAACTCTCCCATAGGCCCAGACGGTTATGGGGAATCAGAGAGTTCAGTGGATATTCCTACCCCTAGCCTCAGGGCACCGCTGAACTCCTGACAATGTAGTAGACACTCTGGGGCTACATATTCAGCCTTATATGAAGTTTTTTACTCTTACATTTAGGTACAGGCCTGATCTTCAGCCTGGTCTGTCCTGTCACTGTTGGGGAGGAACGTCTCTGTAAACACTGCCCTGGGAGCCTTCTGACTCTCACATTTGGCCTTAAGAGTCTAATTGGCTGAATTGAGCCTGTCATTTTCTCTCTTCAGTGCATCAATAACCCTTAGCAACAACCAAACAAATCTCGCAGTCCTTGTAATTACTGTTTCTTCCATATTTCACAAATGCCAAAGACATCACAGAAGCCACTGAATCCCATCAACCTGTCATCCATTCCAAGTCACCACAGGTGAAATTCTTGGTAATTGCTGTGCTGCAGCATGCCAGAGACCCTCAATACTCACTGAACACCAGAGATGGAGCCCTTGTTGCCATCTGGCTGGGGAGCCGTCCAACTTCAGGAACATATCCCAGGCACTGCTAGGTTTCTCTTTCTTGGCCCAACCACTAATTCTGGTGGGATGCGGAGTGGATAGGCGGTAAGAAGTTAGAATCAGCTTGGCCTTGAGAGGACAAAGCAGGAGTAGGGTGGGAGATAGAAGACAATAAGGAGCAGGGCTTGGGAGAGAACAAATCTCACCCTAATTAGCAGAGTGAGAACAGTCCATGAGTAAAGAGGGGGAGGAAGGAAGGGCCTGAGTGGATGAAAGTAGGTAGAATGCAAAATCCACTGGACTGCTGCTTTCCTGAGATGAGAGGGACAAAGGAAAGAAATAACACTAAGCTTGGCAATGGTAATAATATGAATAATAATAGCTAGTATTTATGGAGCCCTTTTTTTGTGCTATGTACCGTTCTAAATGCCATGAGCAGAAATTAGTTTTCATTTAATAACATCAGAAGACTGTTTTAAAAAGTTTTCTACCAGGACTTTGACATAATTCAGTATATTAAAATGGGAGAATAGGTCAAGTGTTAGAAAACATCATTTTCTTGCTATTAAGCCACATTTCCTTCTGTACTTTCTTAAAAGAGTTAGAATTTATATTTTTCATTTTTTTATAACCAGAAATTACAGAAAATCACTTTTGTAAAGTTCTTATTGTTTCAACATTTTCTCTCTACTATTATCCCTTTACTTTAATTTAATGGGCAGTCCTAAAAATAAAAGTTATCTTGTATATGGCACATCAAATATAGAATGTGAATGAAGAACTGTGAACATTTCTTTTTTGCAAAGCTCCTGCATTCGATGGCCCAGCAGGCAACGATTTATTGCAATTGTTGCTGCAGAGATCTTAAAAAAAAGGTGAGGCTTCACCCTGAGCAAAAAGGGCAAATTTAACAAGAAGCTATATAGTGTCTCACTACTGCAAATAAAGGGAGAAGGGTGCAAGAAATAATGTAATGGGACATGTGCAGTTTGAGAGGTCTTGGCGTATTCTGTCATGATGGGAGACCAAGCAGTATCTTGTAATTATCTATATTTCTATGTAGCTTCTTTTCGCTAAAGCCTATTGTAGTTCCCTGTTATATATCCACTATTGAATGAATAAATCTCATGATTGTTACAACTGAATTACTGCAAGTATGAAGCTATTTTATTAATCAAAGCAGAGATTATAAGTAAGTTGTGGGCTTTGCTCCCCATCTTACCCAACAACATTATTCAGAAATTCTTGATTTTAGGGTGATAGAAGATTATAAAATTTTGCTGTGTAAAATGTTTTTCTCTGTAAACAGCAGTGGTGACCATTTTTGAGTCATTGAGAAGAGAGACTCAGCAGTAGCACTGAATTAATTTCATGTTACTTTAACATTTAATTTCATAATATAGTCACAGTGGGTTACTCCTTTCCTCATTAATATGATTAATAATTTGTAAAATAAGCCCACCCTTTGTACCAAAAATTTATCATAACTTAATATATAAGTCAACCAATATTGAATCATGTCTGAGGAGGTTGTTACTGAATACTTTTTTAGAAAAATGTTTCAAATACAGAATTGACTTCAGTTTTGGCATTTGAGTAAGGTTTTACTTTATTTTTATTTTTAAATTTTTTTTAGATATACATGACAGTGCAGTATATTTTGACATAATATACATACATGGAGTATAGCTTATTTTAATTAGGATCCTATTCTTTTAGTTGTATGTGATGTGAAGTTTCACTGGTCATATATTCATATATGAACATAGGAAAGTTATTCATTTATTTAATCCATACATGAAAAACTGCCATAAGCAATTGTATGAGGGAAATAATTCAGCACAACTTGAATTTGTGTTCTCAGATCTATTGATAAGCAGAACTCAGGCATGGACTATATTGTAAAGAAAACTTGCACATCTGCTGGTAGGCATTTTTCTTTACAACAGGTAGGAGCATTGACAAAAAGACTAGAGATCATGAAAATAAGATAGATAACACCGAGTTATTTCCAAGTGTGTTTGTTGTTCTCTTTTAGACAACTATTTAGAGTTAATCAATGGGGATGTTACTTAACTATATACATTTAACATTATCATCATGCTATTTTCTTTGAATTTAATGGTTTGATGTTAGTATATGAAAGGCATCTTTTAATGAGATAAATGATTGAGGAATATATTAGTCAATGCTCTCTTGGTTGTAAATGGCAAAAAACTCACTTAAAATAGTTAAGTGATCCTAGGAATATGGCAATAGTGAAGACATTGTTGTGAATTTGTCTAAATTCCTGCATAAAAATAGAGGATTTAGATAACAAAGTGAATCTATTGATAATATTTAATACAAAAATGGTAGACAAGCTATCTCCAGAAATACCAATGACAGTATGTGAGAGTCAACTACTTGATCCAAGGCCTGCAAAGTACCAATATCTTTATGGGAGAAAGCAATAGAGCATCTGGCAGTGAAGAACAGGGGAGCCAAAGTCCCACAGGGGTTCACTATGACTCCATAGTGAGGACAACTAGAGATCAGCAAAGATGCTGAGAGGACTGTGCTTAATCCAGTAAGGGGCAATGAACATGATTCATGGTGTGTATTGAAGGATCTGGGACAGTCCACTCCCTACATTCATTGCAAATATTCTCTTACAGGACAGGGCCCTACTTTGAGGAGAAACTGTTTGGAATAGCATAAAAACAAGCCAAGCAGGATGGAAACAGCTGAAACAGGAAAAGAGGTCTATCAGGAGGCGGAAAAGAAGAACAGAACCAGGAAGGGAGAGAAAGGAAGCCACCACATTTCTGAATATTACAAAGAAATCACAGAAGGTCCTCTGGGAAGCTGGAAGAGAACCTGAAGCTTCCTTCTCCTAAACATTCAGGAAAAGTAGTTTCACATAAGAAGCAGGAGCCCAAGAGAATTGAGGTCAGATTTCATGTAAAGTTAACTAGAAGAAAAAAGAATATCAGAGTCACTTTTTTTTTCCCCCAAAACAAAAGCACATCAGAATGATCTAGTCACAGAATAGAGTAAAACAGTGTTATGACTTGAATATGGTTGGTGTCCCCTTAGGTTCCATTGTGATTGAACACTTGGTTCCCACAGTGGTGCTCTGGGGAGGTGGTGGAAACTCTGGGAGGTGAGGCCGAGTAGGAGGTCCTTTGGGTTTTGAGGATGTGCCCTTGTAAGGAATAGTAGGGTCCCAGTCTCTCTCTTTCTCCCTGACTTCCTATTTGGCAAAGTAAGCTCTTCCACACATCTGTGCCTCGGCATGCGTGACATGATGCAGCCAAGAACCGAGCCCATGCGGGAATCATGCCCTTGAGCCTCCCAAACTATGAGCGACTTCAGTTTCTTCACTTTAAGTATAGTAAACCACCTCAGATATTTGCCTGTACTAATGCAAAGCTAATGCAAACCATAGCTGTCTACTTCAAAAGACAACATCAAGAAAAAGAAAGAAGACGTGAAAGGATGAAAGAATCAAAATAAGAAAAACTCAGAAATGAAGCGGTGTGATGACAAAATATGTAAAAATTAGAAATGAAAGATTTTTTAAAAAAATTTCATAAATTAACACTAAACTGGAAGGAACACAAAAGCAAGTAAACATAATGGATAATAACTTAAGGAAATGGGGTTTAAAGGAGGAAAATTTTAAAAATGTAAAAGAAACAAAGAAGGCGAAGCGACAGGTACTGCAAATGAGGAAAGGAGATCTGACATAGGGATAAAAGGAGTCTCTAAGTAAGAAAAGTACATGATCTTTAACATTATTAAAAACTATAACTGTAAGGCTGGGGTTGTGGCTCAGCGGTAGAGCACTCGCCTAGCACGCATGAGGCTCTGGGTTCAATTCACAGTACCACATAACAATAAATAAATAAAATAAAGGTATTTTGTCCGACTACAACCAAAAAATATTAAAAGAACTATAATTCTAGAAAACGTCTGAAATAAAAAAAGTTAAAAAATATTTGATACTACATATTGAAAGCAACTGTTATACCTGAGGATACTGACTCCCAAACAACAAGTATCAAGACAGTAAAATTATCTAGTAAAATTATTGAAATTTAAAGAAAATTTTATGCTTTGAAGCCAAAACAACAGGAAAAAAGAGGAAAAACTTAGATTATCATCACACTTTTCAATAGTAATGCTTTACGTTACAGATAATGGGGTAACATATTTAAGATAGCCAAGGAAAAAAATGTGAGTTAGGGATTTTATATTGAGAAAAACTGACTTTTAGTGAAAAGGTAAAAACTATAATTAGCATGTAAGAACTCAGAGGATATATTACCCATTAATCCTTCTTGAAGATTTTACTAGAGAATGAAATTTAGAAACCAAAAGGAGAAACACTGACATAAGAATGGTTGATGAGGATCAAATTTGTTTTTTACTTGTAGAACTAATACAAATGAGAGTTA